TGTTTCTATCTCTCTCTCTCTCTCTCCCTGTCCCTTCCTCTCTGAAATCAATTGAAACAAACAACAAAAAAAGTGTTCACTAAAAGAATGGGCAGTTTTCATGGATGAGACTCCCTTATCGGTTACCCCCGGCAACTCCCATCCCTCCTCTCTGCTCTCTCCTGGCATCAATTCCTGGCCCTCCACCCCCAAGCAGCAGGGTGGTCCACAGCATGCACTCCGCAGTCAGGCAGACCTGGGTTCGCATCTCAGGCGCTCACGAGCCATACGTCCTCAAAGGAATTTAACTCCCCAGCCCCGGTTTGCTCATCTGTAAACTGGGGACATTCTCAACCCCATAGGGCTCCCATGCAAAGCACATGGGAACATGCATTCGGTGTCTATGGGGCTCCTCAAATGAGCCAGGGCCTGTGCCCGCGAGACCAGCGTGGCCAGGGCAGGCCTCACCGAGGAGGGGGCAGTGCAGAAGGACAGCTGAATATGAAGGAGCCAGCCATGCAGAGCGCTGGGAGAAGAACATTCCAGATGGGGACTAGCAATTGCAAAGGCCCCCGGTAACCAAGCCCAGCAAATTGCTGCTTCTCCAGTCTCCCTTCCACATTGGACGCACCAGGGCATCTAGGCCACGGGCACATCACGATGACCTCATCATACACTTGGCAGTGAGTTTTCAGCAGTGAGTCACCGCCCTTCCCAGAATAGCATCCCCCCACCCCCACCCCCCCCATCCCCAGTGCTGCGTGCAGCCTGAGGCCGGAGAGCAGGGCTATCAATAGAACGAGTTTCTCGGGCGGCCCTGCGGATAAGCTGGTGGCCGTGCTGATAAGCTGGTGGCCGTGCTGATAAGCTGGTGTCCGTGTGGATAAGCTGGTGTCCGCAGCCCCACCACGCCCTGGAGGCACAGTGGACAGCTCACCACTGACTGGCCCTCTTGCGCACTGTCCTGGGTGAAAGCTCAGCACCCACAGGAGCAGGAGGAAAGTGAATGGTCTGTGCTCTCTCCCCAGTGTGGTCCTGGGGCCCCAGGAGTGGCCGTTCCCTGCCAGAACCTGGTTCCTCTCTTCCTTCTCAACAGCTGGCCGCGGGCACCAGCAGGAGCACCTGACCCTGAGGCCGGGCCTCAACCTGCCATTAGCTGGGACCCGGTGATGCGCAGCCTTGCCCCTTGGTGCCCCCGCCCCTCCCCCTCTGAAATCATATATTTACTTACTTACTTATTTATTTCAAAGAGGGAGAGAGAGATAGAAACATCCGTGATGAGAGGGAATCATTGATCAGCTGCCTCCTGCATGCGCCCTGACCCGGGATTGAACCGTGACCTCCCGGTTCATAGGTCAATGCTCAACCACTGAGCCGCTCTGGCCGGACCCCTTTTTCTCCACGGGGACCGTAGCGAAGTCCCCATACAGCATGAGTGGCTTCGCCCCGGCCGGGGCCTTAAAGCTCCAAGGTCTTCCTTGAACCTCAAAGAGGCAACAAGTCCCTTGAACCCAGCTTGCCCGAGCCTCCTGACTCGGCCCAGTGTTCCTGAATCATGAGGAAGACGTGGGTCTCAGGGCCCAAGCTTGAGCAGAAACTGCTCCTTGCTGTAAATGTGGGCCAGTCCTGTCCTGGGGGGGGGGGGGGGGGGACAGTGCCCAGCTGGAACGGAGCCAGCGCTGCCTGTAGGCCCGCCTCTCCGTGTTCCTGCCTCTGTGCCTGGCACCCGGCTCTGTGGCCCTCAAGATCACAGGTCCTGGAGACTGCGGGTGGGACTCAGGAGGGAGGGGAGGGCTTCAGCTCTGGCCCCTGCAGCCTGGAGAGCTGCCTGGAGGTGGCAGCCTTCTCCGGCTCTCCCTGCACAGAGCTCTCCCAGCCCAGAACCACAGCCAGTCCTAGGTGCCGCTAACTCAGCTGGTGAGCTGTGGGCTAGTTACACACCCCAGCCCCCCGTTCCCCGTCTGCAGGGTCAGGAGATTGGGCTTGTTCCACACTGAGTGTCAGTGACGACCCGACACCCGTGGCCGGGGCTCTGACCGCCTGGCGCTCCTGCCCGGGGGGCCGGAACGGGGGTGGCAGACCAGGTGCCCTGTAACTGCCCCATGAGCGGGAGAGGCCCTGGGCCTGCCCGGTGGACAGCGGCCACGCGACTCGGTGGGCTCGACAGGGTCGTCATAAGGGGAGGCCACCAACTGGGAGGGGCGGGCTCTTCAATAGAAACCCGCGCTGGGCCCGGCCCTGGTGGCCCAGTGGTTGGGCGTCGGCCTCCGGACCAGGAGGTCAGTGCGATTCCTGCTCAGGGCACATGCCCAGGTTGCAGGCAGGAAGCAGCCAATTGATGACTCTCTCATCACTGACGTTTCTGTCTCTCTCTCCCTCTCCCTCTCCCCCTTCCTCTCTGAAACCAATAAAAATATTGATTAAAAATAAAAACAAAACCACGAAACGCGAGCTGGGCTGAGGGGTCGCCTCTCCTAACGGCGTGGACGCCAATCCCAGGGCTCCGGGTCCCGGGCCTGCAGGAAGGCGAGAGCCACGAGACGCTGTTCTAAAGGCTTCCAGCGACCTGCCGACACCTCCCTGTCCAGAGGCACTTCTCCGTCCCCCCCTAACCCCCCCTAAGGCCCGGGGCCCAGCCGGCCCTTATCTGTCACTCGGCTGTGAACCCCGCTCCCTTCCCCTCCAAGACTGCGGCTCACTGCTGGGCGGCGGCCACCCAGGCCTGGGCCTTCCCCTGCAGCAAAGAGGAGGCAGCATTTTCCCTCAGTTTCCTCATTCCTCCCGCCTCCAGACCCTGACGTGGCTCCCCAACATCGGACACAGCCCCGGGGTGGCGGGTCCCGTTCGCAGAAGGAGCCGGGGGAAATGGGCGGGTGTGCCTGGCCGTGGAGGCTGTCTCGTACACTCTGCTTGGGCCCCTTGGGGCATCGATAATGACAGAAACTAACCCCAAAATTACAGTGTTTAAACCTCTTATCATTTCAAACATAAGCGCTTTCAGAACAAAGAGCATCACAAGTGCTTCAAAAGCGACAACTTTCTTTCTCTCCCCGACGCTGCCCTGGGCCAGAGGCCCGAGCTGGGCGTCAGCAGCACCCAGCCATCTCTCACTGTGTCTCCCATCGCGGGGAGCAGGGGCAGGCACCCTGGTGACCTCACCTCAACCGCATCACCTCCCATGGGGGTCAAATCCACCAAATTGACTTTTTTTCAAATATATCTTTATTGCTTTCACAGAGGAAGGGAGAGGGAAAGAGAGACACAAACATCCATGATGAGAGAGAATCACTGATTGGCTGCCTCCTGCACGCTCCCTTCTGGGGATCAAGCCCGCAACCTAGGCATGTGCCCTTGACCAGAATCGAACTCGGGACCCTTCAGTCCGCAGGCTGACGCTCTACCCACTGAGCCAAACCAGCTACGGCCCAAACTGACTTTTAATGTGCCACGGGGAGGGCAGGACAGAGCCCCCACCACCTGCCACCTCAGCCCGGGGCGAGGCCGGCCTCCGTGCTGGGGACAGACCTGGGCGGCTCTCACGCGGCCCCGGGGCCTGGGAGGAAGCAGACACGCCCTTCTCCTGGCCCGGCTGGAAGGTGGCCAGTGCTGGGCAGCCTGTGCCTCAGGCGGAGCTGAGCTCTGGGCCGGCCTGCGCCTTCCCGGACGGTGAGACCCTTTCAAAGGGGCTACTCCTTCGTGGTCTGGTTTGGCAGACAAGCTCGCTCCAAGGCCGGGGCCTGCCGGGGGCTCCCTCGGGGCTCGCGAGGGGCAGCTACTCCGTCCGTCGGGGTGTCAGATGCGGGGGGTGTTCTCTCACCCGCGGAGGGAAGGTTGACAGGGTCGGGGGTTTCCGCCTCTTAGCCACTCGGCCATGAATGGAACACCCCCCGGCCCTGCACGCCCACCTCTGGGCCAGAAAGAAAAGCTGCATCCAGCCCCCAGCTGCTGGATTTGGGGGGGAAAAGTTTAATTAGTTGCTAACATTTAAAAATCAGGGGAGGGGACTCTTTCTCCCTCCCCAGGTGGGAGTCTGTACTTGTTCTTCAATAAATTTCCACCTTTGCCATGCAAATAAATAAATAAAAATAAATAAAAATCAGGGGAGTTCCAATCAATGTGCAGACTTCAGACTCCCCTTGAAAGCTTGGCCGACCGGCCCGCATCCTACGCCGTCCGAGCCGAGCGGGGGCTGCCCTTGGGGACGGGGCATGTGCTGCCCGAGCCCACGCAGCCGCCCAGCCCGCCGCTCCGTCCCCTTTTCTCTGGGCCTTGAGCTCAGGGGCCCTGGCCTGGCCTGCACGCTGCCCGGAGGCTGGGACCACCTGTGCCTCCTGAATGGCAGCACCCAGCCCGCCCCGCCTGTGGGTCCTCGGTGCTGCTGGTGGATGCCCCCTCCTGCGCGCGGGCACCACTTCCTGAGCATCAGAGTCGCACGGGCATGGTGCTGCTCCAGCACAGGTTTCTGGAGGAGACTGGATCTCAAGCACCCCCCCCCCATTCGTACCGTCTGCCCCATCACCTAAAGCCACTCCTACGCCCGTGGGCTCCCCGCCGTCTTCCCTCTGCCAGGGGACCCCCATTCCTCCCAGCACGCTCCTCCCCGATGCGCAGCTCACGGGGTGGCTACGAGGAGGACATGAGACCAAGAATGTCAAGTGTGGTCGCCAGCACTTACTTTATGACACGATGAGCGAGCTTTCCCTCCAGGCCAGCACGCATCTCCCCACGCTCACTGAGGTCACGTGGTCTGGGCTTGTCCCCCAGCCATGCCCCAAGGAGGAGATGACGATAGAGATCTCTGTTTTCCGAATTTTTCTAAGTTTTCCCCCCTTCTCCCCCCCCCCCCCAATCCGGAAGCTGATGGGAATAAAGATCTTATCGGGAGGTTAGTTTTTTATCGGGACCATCAGCAGCCCTCCCCGGGGATCTGGCGCAGGTCAGAGCGTATATATGGGCAGCGCTGGCCCCTCGCCGCACCCTCCGCACCGAGCCTTCTGGAGGACGTGACGCGGGAGAACACCATGAGGTGGATCGGGTTCCTCAGCCTGGTGGCCCTGTCCGAGTGCCTGGTGACGTGAGTATGGGGACACCTGTCCCGGCCTCGCTCTCACTGTCCCCTGATCCTTCCACCGCCCAGGGGGGGAGAAGGGAATGCAATCATTCCCTGTCGTCACGTCCGCATCTGCAATTAGTTTTAATTTTAATTTTTATAAATCCTCACCTGAGGATATTTTTCCATCGATTTTTAGGGAGAATGGAAGGGAGAGGGAAAGACAGGGAGAAACATCGATGTGAGAAAAACACTTCGATGGGCTGCCTCCTGCACGAGCCCCCACCAGGAACTGGGCCGGGGAGGAGCCTGCAACCGAGGTCCGTGCCCTTGACTGGAATCGAACCGGGGCCCTTCGGTCCGCAGGTGGACGCTCTGTCCACTGAGCCACACCGGCCAGGCGTGGCGGCCACATTGAACTGCGCGCGGGGAGCTGCTGTCTTACTTCTTGTCTTTTCCCGCTGGAAGCGTCCCTCTGACGAAGATCAAGTCCATGCGGGAGAGCCTGCGGGAGAGGGACCTGCTGAGAGACCACCTCCAGCAGTACGCCCACAGCCGGGCCAACAAGCTCCTGCGCCAGCCGCGCGTCACCGTCCAGCCCTTGAGGAACTACCTGGACGTGAGTGTGGGGGCGCAGGCACAGCCTTCCCTAGTGCTGGCCGAGCACTGGGGTCCACCCGGGGTGGCAGCCAGGAGGTGGGGGCGGGGCTCCTGCAGGCAGCAAAGGGGAGAAGGCACTCGCACCCTCAGCTCTTGGTCTGTGGTGACTGGCCCAGCAATGACCAGGCGGCAGGCAGGCTCCATCTCGGTGCCCAGGATCCGGCGCTGGGCACCCGAGAACCAGGTGCTGGTTGGACAGATTCTGCTCCTTCTGAACAAAACCGCTGCCTTAACGGGGACTCCAGTTGGACGCCCCAGGCCGAGGGCGCTCAGCCTCCACAGCCCCGAGAATGACCCCAGCAGAGTGCCTGAGCCCCTCCAGTGTGGGAGGCTATTAACACCAACGGTGTGGTTACGGCTGTGGATCACAGAGGGTCTGGCCTGTTCTGCAAGAAGATAAACGCCAATTAAAGGGCCGCCTGTGTGATAGTGACACAAGCGGCGCTGAGTTGGGAGCAGGGGCCTGGGTGACCTAGGAGGGCTTCCCGGAGGAGGGAGCACGCTAACGGGCCCATGAAGGCTGTGGATTCACAGAGCTGCAGGGAAAAATGGGAAATTTTTCCAAAGAAGGCACTGCCTGAGCCGCGGCCATGGAGGTGGGGTGGTGGGAAAGCGATTCCAGCAGACCCGGGACGCCCTGGTCAAGGCCGGCACCTGGGGACCAGGCGTGACACGGGCACCCGGCCTGGCATAAGCCCCCGCCCCCACCGGCAGATGTACTACGTTGGCACCATCAGCATTGGAACGCCCCCTCAGAAGTTCAAGGTCGTCTTTGACACTGGCTCAGCGGACTTGTGGGTGCCCTCCATCTACTGCTCCAGTCCCGCCTGTGGTGAGTGCCTGGGCCCTGTTGCGGCTCCCGACCCCACCCCTGCCCCAGGCCCTGAGAGCTGACTGACCCCTGCACTCCGTCTGCAGTGACACACAAAACCTTCAAACCTCTGCGGTCGTCCACCTTCCAGGGCACGGACCGGCCCATCCGGCTGCTGTACGGGTCCGGCAGCATGACCGGGCTGCTCGGCTACGACGACGTGCGGGTGGAGTGGGGGTGGGGCCTGGCGACCTCTGCCCACTGCTTACAGGGCCACATGCAGGGTCAGCCAGACGCACCCGTCTCCCCAAGTCCCCCAGCGGCTGGCCGTCTGCCTCGGGGAGACAGTGCCCGGCTGAGAGCGCCCCGAGTGGCCAACCCAGCGAGCGGGTCATGGCACGGGAGGCGGGCATTTGCAGCTCTTGCCCCGTGGTGAGCTGAAGGCTGATTTTGCTGGGAGCAGGGAGAGGTGAGGGCAAACCCATTTTTATTTATTTTTTTTAAATATATATTTTTATTAATTTCAGAGAGGAAGGGAGAGGGAGAGAGAGGTAGAAACATCAATGAGGAGAGAAAATCATGGATCAGCTGCCTCCTGAACACCCCCTATGGATCGAGCCCACAACCCGGGCATGTGCCCTTGACCGGAATTGAACCCGGGACCCTTCAGTCCACAGGCCGGCACTCTAGTCACTGAGCAAAGCGGCCAGGGCTCCATGCAGTCTTTTCACAAGAACTCGGCGGCCCTGTGTACACCTGGGGTGCAGAATCCACAGTGAATCGCAGGGAATTCACTCGGTTTCTGCCACCAGATCCCGGAACGCCAAACACAAGACGACCCCGCGCTCTGCTCATGGGGCCTGCGGGGGAACCGCCTGGCCCACTCAACCCCCGGCGCCCCAGCCGTACAGAGGGATGAGGGTGTTTCACCACCCGGGGTGGTGCTAGCAGGAGGGCGGGTGTCAGGGGGACTCCTCGGCAAAGCACAGTGGGTGCTGCTCGGGCACCTCCAGGCGCAGCCACACCTCAGCTGATCCCTGGGGTGCTGGTGGCATCGCCCCACCCACCTCCCCCAGGCCCAGCCCCAGCTCCGCTTCCAAACCTTCCCATGCGGCCACCTTCTTCCCCCCAGATCAGGCACCTTGTCTGCAAATCCCAGGCATTCGGCCTGAGCACGACAGAGTCCGGCATTGCCTTGGAGTTTGCCGCCTTCGACGGCATCCTGGGCCTGGCCTACCCCACCCTCGCCCTCAATGACACCACCCCGGTCTTCGACAGCCTGTGGAAGCAAGGCCTCCTGCCTGAGAACCTCTTCGCCTTCTACCTGAGCAGGTCAGCCTCCTCCCACCTGAGCAGGTCAGCCTGGCTGGGCAGGCCCTTTGCCCAGATGCCTCCCGTCGCCTGAGAAATGGTAGACGACCGGGCCTCCCCTCTTTCCTGAGGGGCAGCCTAGTCGAGGGGTCCGCAACTAGTGGCCCTCGGCCACATGTGGCCCGCCACCTGCTTTTATAAATAAAGTTTTATTGGAACACAGCCCTGCTCTTTAAGTCACATCCTGTCTGCAGCTGCTTCTGTGCTACAGTGGTAGCATGAGCACTTGCGATAGAGATCGCGTAGCCAGCGAAACCCAACATGTTGACAATCTAGCATTTTTATTTTACGTTGTTAATCCTCACCCGGGGACTTTTTTCCCATTGATTTTTAGCGAGAGTGGAAGGGAGGAGGAAAGACACAGAGAGAGAAACATCGATGCAAGAGAGACACATCAATTGATTGCCTCTTATGTGCGCCACAACCAGGGCCAGGGATCAAATCCAGGACCCTTCCGTCTGCAGGCCGATGCTCTATTCACTGAGCCAAACCAGCTAGGGCATAATCTAGCATTTTCTAAAGTTTGCGGACCCCTGTATTTCTAGTCCCTCCTTTGATGGATGGGGAAACTGAGGCTCAGAGAGGAGCTTTGCACAAAATGGCCCAGCCAAACACTGGCAGTGGCAGGACTCGAGCTCGGCCACAGTGCTGTCCCCTCTGCCGGGTGGTCAGGCCATCAGCAGGTCTCCAGTCACCGGGCCGGCAGTGGAAACGCTCAGCTCCCTGGCTGGCTGAGGGTCTGGAGGGGGTGGAGAGAGCAGCACAGGCTGGAGGGGGACCCGGCGGCAGACCGTGTGGAGGACGCAGAGTGTGGGTGAGGCTGTGGGCTCTGCGGCATGAGCTGAGCCTCTGGGGTGCTTGTACCAAAGCAAGGAGGTGAGCCGTTTAACACATATTCACTGAGCACTTACTACTTGCTGGGTACTGCTCTGTGCACGTGATGGAGACAGGTGAGAGGGAGAAAAGGCAGACAAGAAGCAAGTAAATAAATAAAAGGAAAAGATAACATGCCAGGCAGTGATTGGTTCTGGGAAAGCGGGGAAACATGGTGATAGGACGACAGAGATGAGAGCGCGGTTTCAGAGGGGCAGTGCAAGGACCTCTCTGAACTGAGGCCGTGCGAGGGGGGAGAGGAAAGGCCCAGGCTCAACAGAGGACCGGCAAGGGGCAGTGTGGCTGGAGACTGGGAGGGAGGGAGGGAGGGAGGGAGGCATGGAGTCTGAGGGGCAGGCAGGGGCAAGGTCGCCCCAGGGGTTTGGTTTTAGGTGGGAGTGGAGGCCTCTGCAGGGGCCTAGGCAGGGAGAAGACATGATCCCATCTCTGTTTCTGAAAGCTGCCCCAGGCGCTGGCTGGAGAACGGTGGACCAGAGAGGAGGCATGGAGGCCAGGGGCGAGGCTGCTCAGCCTCCTTGGAGAGAGAGCAGGAGCTCAGACTTGGGGGGGGGGGGCGGGTGTGTCACAGGCCTGTGAGCCAGCCTGGGGGAGCCTGAGCACACGGCCTGGGCCCCTCCGCACAGCAGCCTCCGGCTGTGCCTCGAGCGCGCGGCTGCTGGAGGGGACGTGGCCGGCCTCAGAGAGGCGGTGGCCCAAGCCCAGCCAGAATCTCAAGCTCACAGCTGGGCTGCGCTCCTCAGTAGCCAGGGGACTGACCTTGGGCCGAGCTCGGTGCCCCTGCCCCAGGTCCCTTCTGAACAGTGGGGGTCATGGCAGTGCCTGCTCAGCGGGGCCCTGTGCTGTGTGGCTAAGTGGCCGCTGGCCAGTGCCAGCCTCGGTCACTGAGCTGGAGAAGCGCCACCCACCGTCCTCCCCTCACAAGAGCCCCCTCTCCCCCCGCCCCCCCTCTCTCCCAGCAACAAGAGGAACGGCAGCGTGGTGATGTTCGGTGGCGTGGATCACTCCTACTACCGGGGCGAGCTCCAGTGGGTGCCGGTGAGCAAGCAGGGCTTCTGGCAGGTCGCTGTGGACAGGTAAGCACCCCCCCCGCCCCCCCACACCCCCCGCTGAGGGCCACGCCAGTGGCATCCGCACCTGCAGGCACAGGGCACACGCACACACTCAGACAGACACAGGCACGTACCCCACCACGGGTTCATAACCGCCCTGACCAGGGTCCTGACCAGAGAACCGGGATTGGGCCCGCGTCACGGACACCAGGAGCGGGGACAGGCCCAGGCCGAGCCTCAGGGCGGTGGCCGGGGCAGCGTGGGAGGGCCACACCCCCCAGGTCGGAGCAGCCACAGCGAGAAGGGGTCAAGGAGAATTCCACCGTCTGAACAGGGACATTCAGGTCGCCGGGCTGAGGGGTTCCTAGCACACTGGGCACCAGCGTGAAAACAGGGGAGCCCCAGCACACAGGAGGGCGCCCTGCCTAGGGAGACGCTCCCTGGCCCTGGAGACATGTGGGTGCCATCCTAGGGCCTGAAAGCAAATCACAAAAAGGGACCCCCACCCACCCAGTCTGGGTGCCCAGGGCAAGGGGATGGGACCGAGAGCATCAGGAAGCGGGGACCAGGGAGGCTGAGGCCAGGGGCGATCACTGAGGGGGCCCCGTGATACTGTCACACAGAGGCCTACACTGTGCTCTGGAGCCCACGCCCCGCGCCCTGGGCCGGCCCAGGTGTCCCCCATCCAGGGGCCTGGGGGGCGGGCAGGCGGCGCGAGGCACGGGGGGAACAACACACTCCCTGCCTCCTCTCCGAGCCTCTGCTCCCCGGGAACTCCGTCTTTACCGTGTGGCTTTCATCACTGGCCGGACAGCAGGTCCGTGTCTCCAGTTGACCCTCATTCCTTCTCGTGCCCTTCCATTCCCTCGGCAAACACAGTGGAGCATGCGCTGTGCGCTGGGCACAGGCACTGGAGGGGGCACGCAGGGCACAGCGTGCTCTCCCAACGAGCAGGGCAGACACACGTGAGGGACAGTGTCGCAGCCATCGGGAGTCCCCTGCCCGTACGCGCTGGACATCAGGAGGGTTTGCCGTCCAGTCTGGGGAGGAGAGGGGCCTGATCTCCTCTGGGGGACACTTCCCTGGAAAAGTAGCGACTGATCCGGACCCTGGAGGACAGGAGGAATCAGCCAGACAAAGGGGAGGGGGTGGGTCCAGGAAGGGTGATGGCTCGTGCCAAGGCCCTGAGGCACCAAGAGCACAATGCATTCAAGACCTGCGAGGAAGTCCGTCCAGGAAGGTCGGTGTGGCTGATACAGGGAGACAGGACGGCAGGAGCTGCAGGCTGTATTGCAGGCAGCTGGGAGGGCCGCGGGGGGAGAGGCCATGGGTGACCCTGGTGCCTGCTTTGTCCCTCAGCATCTCCATGAACGGGACGGTCGTGGCCTGTCCCTGCGGCTGCCAGGCCATCGTGGATACCGGGACCTCGCTGCTGATTGGCCCACTCGACCCCGTCCTCAACATTCTGAAGAACATCAACGCCCATAACACCAGCACCGGCGAGGTGAGGGGTCACGCCCCGGGGTCACCCTGGGCTCCCCACACACAGAAGGACCCGCAGGGCCAACCCCCCCTCCCTCTCTCTCACACAGTACGTCGTCAGCTGCGATGACGTCCAGAGCCTGCCTGACATCGTCTTCACCATAAACAATGTCACATACCCAGTGCCAGCCAGCGCCTACATCCGGAGGGTGAGGGGCTGCCCTGGGGGCTGGTTCTCAGATTTGGGGCTGGAGGGACCTGTGGGGCCGTGGCTCAGAGAGGCCTCCTGGAGGCAGGACCATGCCATTGCAGATGCTGCCCAGCAGCCCTGGCTGGGAGGGCACCTCCCACAGCACAAGCCTCTTTTTTTAGAAAAATATATTTTATTGATTTTTTACAGAGAGGAAGGGAGAGGGATAGAGAGTTGGAAACATCAATGAGAGAGAAACATTGATCAGCTGCCTCCTGCACACCCCCTACCAGGGATGTGCCTGCAACCAAGGTACATGCCCTTGACCGGAATCGAACATGGGACCCCTCAGTCCGCAGGCTGACGCTCTATCCACTGAGCCAAGCTGGTCAGGGCAGCACAAGCCTCTTGACAGTAGGGTGTCTGGGGCATCCATCAGCCACGGAAAAATGCGGAGCGGCCGCCCCTGCGGCTCAGTGCCGGTGCCGGGTCCAGGAGGGGGCGCTAATGGCATCGCCCTCAGGCAGCGTCAGGTCAACCAGGGTGCTCTGACTGCTGGGCTGGAACGTAGGCGGTAACCCCGGAGACAGGCAAAGAGGAGGGACCCTAGGGCTGGCTGGGGACAGCCCCAGTGGCCCCCCCCCCCCCCCCCCCCCGTAATCATGGGCTGTATTCCCTTCCCATCTCAAAGTGTCCTGATTTGGGTGATAAATCATAAGGTTACAGTAGTCCTGGGGTGCAAACGCCCCCTGCTAGGCCCCAATTCCCTGGCTGTGAAAGGGGGTACCCAGCTCCCCCTTTGCAGGGCGGTTAGATGCTGACATGAATAAAGCTGCGCAGTGACCGGGCTCCAGAAGCGCCGGTCCCCACGGCGTGCCAAGAGGGCATGGGGCAGCCACGGAGAGAGCAACTGGAAGCCTCTACGCCCTGAACCAGGGAGGCACCCGGGAGCGGAGCTCCTCATCGGACCGTGTGCTGAGGCTGACGACACAGGGAGCTCAGGCAGCTCCCCACCAGCCGGCAGTGCCAAGGAGGGGCATGGGCCCGGGAGGGCTGCCCAGGCGCTGGGCTGGGTCTTCGAGGACGAGGGGGATGGCGGGGAGCAGGTGGGGATTCTTTCAGAGCCAACAGCGGGGCATCCATCAGGGTGGCGGGCGGCGAGGGCGCGGCTGAGGGCTGCACGTCTTTCCCCTCCAGGAGCAGACCGACATCTGCTTCAGCAACTTGGACAAGGACAACTCAGGCAGCTCCCGCCCCTGGGTCCTGGGGGATGTGTTCCTGCGACTCTATTTCACCGTCTTCGATCGCGCCAACAACAGGATCGGCTTGGCCCCTGCGGTGGCGTAGACCTGGGCGCTGCTCCGGGAGGCCGCCGGGCCCGCCCCAGGACTCGCACACACTCCCTGCGTCCCCGCCCAGGGGACCCGGCTACAGCTGCGCCTGGGGCTTTGCCGAGCCCTGTTCTCAATGGATTGAGCCTCGTCCGAGCACTCAGCGGTCACTGGTTTGATTCCTGGTCAGGGCACGTGCCCCGGGGGCTGCAGGCTCGGTCCCCAGGAGGGGGCATGCAATGGGCAGTCCATCGATGTCTCACTCTCATCGATGTTTCTCTCTCTCCCCCTCTAAAAAGTCATAAAAACATTGATTTAACATATTGATTTTTAATAAACGGTCTCATTTCAATGGCGCTAAGACGAGTGGTGCCTCTGCTTGGGCCTGGGAAGTGCGTCTGTCAGGCAGGGCTCTGGGATCCAGTCCGGACCATCAGGGCGGGAACCACCTCCAGCCGGCTCAGTCGGAAAGGACGCTCCCTGGAAGGACGCCGGGCCCAGGATGCGGAACCACAGCAGGTCCGCGGAGCTCGGGGGCTGCGCCCAAGAAATCCACACCCACCAGCTCCCTCTCCCCCCCACCCCGGCCTCTGTCCCTTCCGTCGTCTCTGATGCTCTTCTCCTGCCAGCGTTCTCTCGGCAGCCTCCTCCAGGTGAAGGGCCCTGCCCCCCCTGCCCCGGCCCTTGACATCCTTAAGGCTTGGAAATGAGCAGAGCATCAGGGAGGGGTCTGATTGGTCCACCTCACGTCAAGTGTCCAGCCCTGGACCAATCATGTGGCCAGGGCATGGGGCACTGTGATGGGCTCCACTTGGCCACCCGGCCCCCGCGCTGTGGATGGTGATTGACAGTTTCCTCCAGAACCGCTGGCTGCAGCTGGGTAGAGGCGGCCCCAGAAGTGAGAGATGCTGTAGGACCCAGTGGTCGCCAACCTTTCGGACCTCACGGACCAGCTGCGCTCCGCGGACCACCGGTTGGCGACCGCTGCTGTAGGTGGTAGAAGAATTTGTGGCTGCCCCGCCGCCTCCGCCACCCCTCACAGTCGTGTTTGGGAACACTGGATGCTGAGAGGTCATGTAACATGACATTAGGAGAAAAGGGCAGAATCCGAAACAGCAGGGTTACAGGTTTGCGAAGCCCCTGGAAGACAGGGCAGCGCAGGGCAGGCCGGCACAGCCCGGGGCTCTCGGTCCGGGTTCAGGTCCCAGCTCTGACATGTACGTACCAGGCACACAGTAGGGCCTCAATAAATACAGGCCTGTGACCAGTCCTGTGACCTTAGGTCAGCTCATCTCAGACATCTGTTTTCTATTCTGTAATTCTGAGACAAGATCAGCTCCTCCCTCATTAGTCACCAGGAAAACGCAAATGAAAACGACCATGAGCTCTCCCTTCACGCCTGGGAGGGTGGCCACTGGCAAAACACACACATCAGCCCGGGCTGGTGAGACCTGGAACCCGTGCCCTGTTATGTGAGTGTCCCGTGGTGCGGCCACGGTAGGAAACAACATGGCGGCTCCTCAGAAAGTGAACAATAGAATTTTTATAAGACCCAGCAACCCCATTTCTGGATTTTCATCCCAAAGAATTGAAATCAGGGTCTCGGAGAGATAGCCGCACCGCGTACCCATCACAGCGCCACTCACAATAGCGAGATGTGGAGGCCAGCAAGCGTCCACCGACCGATGAACGGATGGAGAAGCCGTGGTACTGACACGCAGTGGGATATTACTCAGTCACAACGAGAAGAAACCCTGCCGTTTGCAACAGGCTGAAACCTGAGGGCTGGCGTGAAGTGAAATAAGCCAGTCCCCGCGGGATGGGGACTATATGGTCCCACGTCCCTGAGGTTTCTGACATCGTCACACTCACAGAAGCCGGGTGCGGCATGGTGGCTGTCAGGGGTTAGGGGGACAGGGGAGTGGGGAGTTGCTATTCAACAGGCATGTTTCAGCAATGCAAGTTATGCAAGGTGAATAAGTTTAGGGGTCTGTTACGTAACCTTGTGCCTATAGTTAATAATACTCCCACTGTGCACTTAAAATGTTGCTGCGTCCTGGCCAGTGTTGTTCAGTGGTTAGAGTGTTGGCCTGCACACTGACGGGCCACAGGTTCAATTCCCAGTCAAGAGTATATACCTGAGCCCTAGCCGGTGTGGCTCACTGGATAGCGCGTCGGCCTGGGGAGTGAAGGGTCCCAAGCTGGATTCCGGTCAAGGGCAGGTACCTTGGTTGTGGGCACATGCCCAGTAGGGGGTGTGCAGGAGGCAGCTGATCGATGTGTCTCTCTCATCGATGTTTCTAACTCTGTATCCCTCTCCCTTCTTCTCTGTAAAAAATAAAAAAAAATATTTTTAAAAGAAAGAGTATACACCTGAGCTGCAGGTTCAGCGCCGACCCCGGTCCAGCATGTGCGGGAGGCAACCAACCGACGTTTCTCTCACATCAATGCTTCTCTGGCTCCCCCTCCCTCCCGCCCTCCCTCCCGTCCACTCTCTCTGAAACTCAATGGGACAAATATCCTCCGGGGAGGATAAAAAAAAATTATGTTACGAGGGTAGATCTCATGCTAAATGTTCTTACTACAATAAAAAGCAATTCATTCATTCATTCATTAATAATAAAAGAATCTTCTCTTCTAGTTGGGGAAAAGGGCAGGGCTGGAAAAGACGGTTGACTATCGATGTGTACGGCATTTCTTTCTGAGGGATCAAAAATGTTCTAAAATTAAATCATGGGATGGCTGTACAGCTCCATGAACATACTAAAACATACTAAACTACATCCCCGAAACGGTGGCATTTATGAGATATCGCATATATGTCAATCAGGCTGTACAAATACTATATATAAAAGAATGACAGGAAAAACTGTCCCACCTTCTCAGTCTGTGGTGAAGATTCAAGGCGTTCATCTATAGAAAAGCTTCGGGGCGGTGCCAGCCCCACAGTAGCGTGAATTGTTGCTCACGTCACGCATGGGGCAGAAAAAGACCCAAGTACATATGACAATAGTCATATCCGGGAGGCAGCACATGGGCAATTGCTCCTCTCATCTTCGTTATTATTTTCTCCAGCGAGAGCTTTTAAGATCAGGAACAGGCTCAGCATTATTCTCCAAAAGACCGCGGTTTCTGCCCAGCCCGGGTGGCTCAGGGGTTGAGCATCGACCTATGAACCAGGAGGTCATGGTTCGAGTCCCGGTCAGGACACAGGCCTGGGTTGTGGGCTTGGCACCAGTGGGGGGCGTGCGGGAGGCAGCCGATCAGTGATTCTCTCTCATCATTGCTGTTTCTATGCTTCTTCCTTCCTCTCTGAAATCAATAAAAATATGTTTAAAAGACAGACGTTTCCAACTGAGAGAGGACCATGCCTTTGCTGGGTTTGCCTGCTGGAGCAAATGGATTCCAAGGGAAAAACAGACGGCGAAAGGCGGGCCCCTGTGGCCAAGGTGGGTATTACGTGCACAGGCCACCTGGTCTCACCCTGGTGGAACTGCCCGTTGGCTCCGTGTACTTGAATGTCTCTTTGGCCACATGAAACCGTAGTCACATCGCCTCTCCCACCTTTACAGCGGCTAATGCCACTTTGAAAAACAGATATATTTATCTATCTAAATAGAGACAGATAGATTGAGCTATAAATTATTATGTTAACTATAAATATTTTCCCACGGAATCTATTGTACTCGTAACAGCTGGAGACCACCCCAGTTTCTAACATCAGGGAAACATCACCAGGAAGGAATCTATTCCTGACTCTTAAAGTGATAAATGTGGCGCCAGCCGGTGTGTCTCAGTGGATAGAGCGTCAGATCACAGGTCCTGGAGACTGCGGGTGGGACTCAGGAGGGAGGGGAGGGCTTCAGCTCTGGCCCCTGCAGCCTGGAGAGCTGCCTGGAGGTGGCAGCCTTCTCCGGCTCTCCCTGCACAGAGCTCTCCCAGCCCAGAACCACAGGCGGTCCCAGGCGCCGCTAACTCATTGGTGAGCTGTGGGCGAGTTACACACCCCAGCCCCCCGTTCCCCGTCCGCAGGGTCAGGAGATTGGGCTTGTTCCACACTGAGTGTCAGCGACGACCCGACACCCGTGGCCGGGGCTCTGACCGCCTGGCGCTCCTGCCCGGGGGGCCGGGACGGGGGTGGCAGACCAGGTGCCGTGTAACTGCCCCATGAGCGGGAGAGGCCCTGGGCCTGCCCGGTGGACAGCGGCCACGCGACTCGGTGGGCTCGACAGGGTCGTCATAAGGGGAGGCCACCAACTGGGAGGGGCTGGCTCTTCAATAGAAACCCGCGCTGGGCCCGGCCCTGGTGGCCCAGTGGTTGGGCGTCGGCCTCCGGACCAGGAGGTCAGTGCGATTCCTGCTCAGGGCACATGCCCAGGTTGCGGGCAGGAAGCAGCCAATTGATGACTCTCTCATCACTGACGTTTCTGTCTCTCTCTCCCTCTCCCTCTCCCCCTTCCTCTCTGAAACCAATAAAAATATTGATTAAAAATAAAAACAAAACCACGAAACGCGAGCTGGGCTGAGGGGTCGCCTCTCCTAACGGCGTGGACGCCAATCCCAGGGCTCCGGGTCCCGGGCCTGCAGGAAGGCGAGAGCCACGAGACGCTGTTCTAAAGGCTTCCAGCGACCTGCCGACACCTCCCTGTCCAGAGGCACTTCTCCGTCCCCCCCTAACCCCCCCTAAGGCCCGGGGCCCAGCCGGCCCTTATCTGTC